TTTTATGTACCCCACAAAAAGAAATCTAGTGGCGTTAAGTCCGGAGATCTGGGGGGCCAATTTTCAAACCCATTTCTGCCAATCCACCTGTTTTGAAAGTTGGCATTTAAAAATTGCCTTAACTGACCACCTATTTTCATTTTTTATGGCCCTGTATGCGCGCGCATGCGTATCGGAATAATAATGAATGTTGTGTCTATTCAAGAGACCATTGAAAGTACATTCATCACTAAATAACACATTTTCGAAAAACTTTTCATTTTCTGCCACTTTATCTAACACCCACATGCAAAACTCAGTTCGGTTTTCAAAATAATTTAAGGATAAAAGTTGTGCTTTAAATTAAAATTAAAAAAAAAATTAAAAAAAATTAAACTTCACCCAATGGTGCACAGAACGACTATTTGACGTATTTTATAAAAAGGCAAAAACTTAGCTATTAACATCCTAATACCATTCGATATGTAATTAAAAATTTCATTTACTGGTAAGTTAAAAAATATGGGGTTGTATTTAAATTAATCAAGTTAGAGCCACTTAAAGTTCTTATTTGATTAGTTTAAATTTTTGGACACACTGTATAACATGGTAACTTTATTATCATTGGGATATGATATTATATTTTGTTGCAATTCACTATAAATTACGGTTACATAACTTAAATACTTCTAAAGTATTTGACACGTGAAAATTAAATCAGATTTTGATTAAATTCTTTTGAAAAAAAATTGATTTAATTCACAGACTTCCGTGCCGTACAGCGTGAATAACCCTGTACAGTATAATCTTGTAGAGTGGAAAAAGATGGTCTAATAAAGCGGATTTTTTTTATATTTTTGATATAAGCTCAGAAAAAAATTCCTTTAACAATATTTGCGGAAGGAGTCGGAATTTTTCAACTTAAAGCATCATTTTCTTACGCATATAAATGCACAACTCTGTCCTAATTTAACCGACTTTGTATCTCTTACGGTTTACAAGATTCCAAGGCTGGACATAATATTTTTGCAGTTCCATAACTTGTATTTGAACGATGTACTTTGAGTGAGCTTTGAAATTATTTATAGTAAAAATCCAACCCAAATAGCTAACGAATTTCAGACTAATCGAAGTAAATGGCAAAATGGTCTTAACCAAATCCAGAGAAGACCTTGCCAGATTATTGGCGGCAGCTCCAGATCCAGCCCAGCTGGTGATTTTGCGAAAAGAATCTGAAACTGGTTCTAACGTTAGTTCTGCACCGAAACCTTCCGCTCAAGAGGTCGCAGCTCTTCGATCTGAGCTAGAGCTAATCAAGGACCAAGCTGAGGAAACGCAGCGAATTAAAGAGGGCCTCAGAAGTGACAACATCCGACTAACCCATCGGATTTCCTATCTTGAAGAGCAAGTAAGACTCTTGTTATCCAAAACCCAGGAACCCTATTGGTAGTTGATGAATTCTAATTAAATTCCAGGTATCAGAGCTGCAAAGCAAAAAATCTGCTCTAGAGCCGCGACTTCCATCCACTCCTACTCCTGTGATCTCCAAGTCAAACCAAAATGTCACCAACATTAATATCACGTCCCAAAGCTCTCCGGTGTCTAGTCATTCAGGCGACATCCAAGTTTTCCAGAAAGGCCCTCAAGTGACTGCTTTAATTAGCAGCGTTCCTGCTGCGGAAAAGGACGCAATCACCGTCCGCTCCAAAAGTAGTTTATCCAACGTGTCCAGTACCCATATAGTGGCGCCCAATCCCCAGCTGGACTATCAGAGCCACCACAAAGTACAAAAGCACAAATCTCCAAGGAATGGCTTCAAATCGCCCTTGAGAGAATGTTGCGATGAAAGTGATAAAGGGTCTTATAGAAAGCATCATCATCACCATCGGGAGAAGGATTATAACTCAGAAACCAACTCCCATGGGGACCAGCGGCCAAGAGGGAAGAACATGGAAAAACGATATTCCGCAGATTTTTCTAAAACAAACTCTGAAAAGGATTATCGGAATTCCGATGTGGTCGATCAAAGCTACAAGAAAGCCACGAAAATAATCCAGGAGCTGACGCGGCCCACCAAAGAAGCCACCTTATACGAGAAACACCGACAGCGATGTATAACGGCCTCGGAGAAATACAACGCCGATATCTTGAAGCATTACAACGCCAGAAAATCCACTTCTGTCCTGGACTTCAGGTCCGAAGTGCACATAGGTCCAAAATATTCGGATTCACGAAGCGTTGAAGACCTGGAAGCTCCGGAGAGCCCCTCCAAGGCAATGACCAAGCTGTTTAAGAAACTTCAATCCTCCAGAAGCGTGAAGTCCTTGGACTTCGACAGTGATTGCAACTCAACCTCCACGAGAAACGGCTACAAGAGCACCGACTACAATTCGGAAGTTGACAATAGTCGCAAACATCCCGCGTATCCGAGTTATTATGACCACAGTTCAAAGCCGAGACCGACTCCTCCGAAGAAGCCGTTAAGGCTGTCGCTGCACAAAACCCCCAGCCTTCAATCGGTGGAGTCTTCAAGTAATACTCATGAGGCCCAGAATGGTAAAGCCGAGTCAAGGAAGCGCAACTACAAGGGGCTGAGGCATTCACCGGAAAAAAATGGAGAAAGTCGAGAACATAGTGACTACAAAGACCAAATCATGTGGAATTGCTATAGAAGGACTTTGGATAATGGCGTAGAACAGGGCACCTGGTGTTGAAGTTGGGGTTTTGATTATGTCTGTACAAATAAAACTGTGTTGAATAAATGTTGTTTTACTAGAAGAAAAAGGTTTGTTCTTGTGGATTTGCGGGAAAGAAAGTAAACTTCAGTTGTGGTAATTTGGTTTTATTCACTTTCGTCTGAGCTGGGACAGGTATACAAGGTGTTTCATCAGAAATTAACATTTGTTAATGGACACTGCCGTTTGTCCTGGAGAATAAGCGTCTCTTCTAAACTTCATCCGAAAAACCTTGCGTAAACATATGTCTTCAGTTGTTACTTTTCCCGATTCAGCCAGATAAAAATGTATCTACTTCCAAAAAATATCAAAGAATAATCAAGATTTTATTAACATCGGTTGACAATCCATGAATTTAAAAATACACTTCTGGCTTAGTTGGATGCTCTTTCTTGACCGCATCCAATTTATTCAAGCTCTTCAGGAAATTCTTGAAAGCCACTGAGCTGCTGACCAAACGCTTAGGCTCAATCCCTTCCGAATCTGTCGTGTCCAATTCTCGAATGGTTTCAGCCTTTTCCTTAATGTTTCCAAGGAAGCTGACTTTATCTTGCATTTTTGAGGCCAGGGCTTGGATCTGAAATCACCTCGCGTTTAGGGCCTTGCCACTAATCAAACTACCGCTGAAAAAACCTTAGCAAATTGGGTTTTATTTTTGCCAACCAACTCTGTAGTCTTTTCGGTCCAGAATTTTTGCTTAGGACTATTGCTATCGGATAGTTCACTGAATGTTGTATTCGACTCGTCCAGCTTATGTTGGGAGTCTGTCGTGTTATCTATTGTTGATAAACTCAGTTCAGACTGAAAATTAATCCAGCAATAAGCACTGAGGTTTAGTGACGCTCAAAAACTACCTCTAGCTGATCCAGACTGCCGCTAAATTCCAGGCTACTGCTTACGTTTAACTTTTCGAGATTTTTCTCCAACTGTTTGATTTTTTCTTGAATTGTCCTCATGTCTAGTTCAGTTTGAGACATCGAAGCCAAGACTCCTGCAGTTTGCTGAAAGTCGATAGATATAGAACGTTTTTATGTACAGGGTTTTTAATTGAACATTTTTTTAACTGGAATGACGCATTTTTATTGCTTATTCGAATTATTCGCAAAATTCTTGGCTAATTCGAAATGAATCTTCTATATTGATATTCAACTGGTTTTGACTTATTAACCAATATTGATCGAACTTTGGCCAATTTTTTTGTTTTTCGTCAAATTTGAAAATTTCTGAAAAATCAGCTGAAGTTGGAATTTTAGTGAAATTTGGTCGACTTTTCGATAAAACCTTGTTCTTTCCGTTTGCGGATGTAAGTGGTTTGAGAATTACGAATTTTTGCACTTCAAGTTGTACGGTTTTTTTTATTTCTCGTCGCGTTAAAATTTTTCTGAAACATCAGCAGAATTAGGCATTTTATTGAAATTTAGTCCGCTTTTCGATAAAATATTTTTCGATATGGTGCGAAAATTTCGATTTGTTGGTATACGTGGCTTGGGAGTTATGAATTTTTGTCTAACTAGACTTCAAGTTGTACGGTTTTTTTTTATTTCTCGTTAAGTTCAACTTTTTTCACTGCACTTCAAGTAGTAGATAAGGTTTTTTTAATTTCTCGTCAAGTGTAAATTTTTTTGACAAATCTGCAGAAGTGGAGATTTTAGTGAAATTTGGCCCACTTTTCAATAAAAGCTTTTCTTTATTGTGCGAAAATTTCAGTTTGTTGATGTAAGCGGCTTGGGAGTTACGAATTTTTGTTCAACTGGACTTTAAGTTGTACGGTTTTTTTAAATTTCACAAGTTTAAAAATTTCTAAAGAATCAGCAGAAGTCGGTGTTTTATTGAAAATTGGTCCACTTTTCCATAAAACCTTTTTCTTTATGGTGCGAAAATTTCAGTTTGTTGATCTGAGTAGTTTGGGAGTTACGAATTTTTGTTTAACTGCACTTCAAGGTGTACGGTTTTTTTATAAATTTATCTTAGAGTCTTGCGTGTAGTTCGAATATGCAATAAAAAGTGCGGCATTCCAGTTTTAAAAAATGTAAGTTTGGTCAGCCACTTGAATTTGAGATACCCTGTATCAATTGGTATTACCTTAAATTGAACTAGACGTTATTAAATACAACTTTTGTATTTAATGTTTTTCCTAAATTTCAAAATAGATGTAACAACGGGGTGGCCAAAGTTCAATCAATAACCCTGTACATTCAGGAAGCTTAAAAAACTAGAAAATCCCGCTAATAATTGGAAAATCTAATGAAGAAATTGATGTTTTCAAAAAAGGAGTTGTAGGAGTTTTTACCTGGATATCTGGAGGAATGGTACTATCCAACTCGCCAAAACTGAAAGTTTCCATATAGTAGTGTTTTTCATTGTCCGTATCCCGTTCAGGTAAATGTTCATTATTACTGCGGTCATACAGCTTCTGTTGTGACGCTATGAAGCGTTCATGCATTTTATTGTACTCGATTTCTAGAAGTTTCAGCTTTTTATCCAGAATCTCCTTATCCCTGGTAACTTGCTCCAACTGCTGTCTAAAAGATGGAAGTGACCGTCAATGAAATTCATTCATTAATTTTACTACTATAGTTCACCTTAAGTCTTCGACATTATTTGTCACTTCTTCCAGTTTGGCGAGTGCCACTTTCTTGGTTTTGGTGTTGCATTTGAATTCTTTAGTGGCGTTTTCCAGTTTTATTACCAAAGCGGTTTTCTCCTGGAGCAACTCTTCCAGTTGCTGTTTAGCGGCCCGATTCTCCTTCTGAGTCAATGCGAGCTGTTTGACGAGTTCCTTTTTCTCCTTGTTAACAGACTCCAGTTTTCTGGATAAAACTGCGTGCTCTTTTAGAGATGTTGTTTGCAAACGATGCAGCTCCTCCCTAAGCCTTTTGCATTGAATTTCCAGTTGTTGCTCAATGCTGCAAGGAGAGTCGAATAAATGAGCGGCTTCGCAATGTCCACTGAATCGCACCTCAACTCTGGACGCTCGCATAAATAGATATCTTTCCTGAATAGCGTGCGGCAAGTTTTTGTGGTTAGATCTGTAGCGCTCGACCGATTACTGCCGCTTCTTTGCATAAGCAGATTCGGACAACTTTTATCCACGTCGATTCTGGAGCGGGGCTATGAAGGTTCTGAGTATCCAAAACCTCAGAGAAATGAACATTGTAATTACCTCTGACTTTGAAAAGTTGGTCTCAGACGATCTGGCCGACTTTACCATTATGGGAATTCTGCTAACACTTCCAGGGTTTCGAGTGTATTGATTCAGTTGGGAGCAGACCAACTTGTTTCTGGAAAACCTTGACTAGAACCCCCATATTTTGATTAAATGCAAAATAACTACCGATATAATCTGTACAGGCTCCAAAGCATCCAGGCAACATTTCGCCCAATGGAGCAAATTACGATGGAAATTACAAAAGTTACGGTGTTCCACAGGAGAAGCGACCAACCGAATCTGATCCCCTTGGCCAGATGAGGCTCTAACTGTTGCTCGATTTTTTTGACAACCACCGGCTTTTCATAAAGTTCATCGAGTTCTGAAAATTTTACTGAAACCTTTAGTATTTTTTGAGATGGTATTATTTCCGGGTGGACAGTTTACCAGTGACTAGCTTATTAAAGTAAGCTGGGTGGTACATAGAACACACAAAAATGAGCATAAGTGAAGGCTGAAAGTCATTCGGATTTTGTTGGAAAAGTTGAAAGTTGGTTAGTGCCAAAGGTAACTTTTGGGTTTTTCTGTTTAAATTCCACTGCAATTTTTCGGCGAGCTGGAATGCGGACAAGTTGGTTTACCTTTGCTATATTTGTGAACGTGGGTGATTCCGATAAGGTCCATGAGGCAAAGAATGGCCCAGAAGACGAATCCATAGCCTATAAGAGCCCTCCAACAGATGCGCATGTTGAAGTACGCGAGTGAAAATATCCCGATAGACAAAAAGCAACAAAAAACACTAAAAGAAAATGTTGATGCCTGGAGTTACATGTGAGAGCTGTCAGTAAGATGGACAATACCACACACCTGGAGCAGGTGTGCTAATGTGAATTTTACCTTTCTAAAGTAGCAAAAGTGATTTGTAGTGTTTGCAAAGTAGGTTGCAACTTTCACACCATATAGACAATAAAAGAAATAAAATTGGCATAGAAAACCCATAAAAATTATCGATTGTTTCAAAAGATTTGGTTTGAATGGGAATTATGAATAAAAATGCGCAAAACCTCACAGGATTAAAGCATCCACTTTTCAGTGTTAGAGTTATTTTGGCTGTTTCAACGTATGTTCATAAAAAGCAACAAAAATTCAACTTTCGCAAAATATGATTCATAATTCACACATAAATAATCTGGAGGAAATCCTGGTCTGACTAGCGACTGATAATAGATATGAAAAATTAAAGACAAATAATCCAAAGCAAATGGGAGGTTTGCCACGTCAAGGTTCACAGCTATAAAATATTTATTCTAGAAAGTAATAAAACCGATAGTACGAAATTCCAGCAATAACAACTATCGCCCGGCAGTTATAATTGCAAACTGCCATTTCTGGTCGGTTGTTCGAAGCGGTCTCGGAGTTTCCCACAGTTATACCGTTGAAGTTCCATCGATTGTTCGCAAATTCGATGAATTCTTAATGAATGTGATCAAAACATAATTCTTTGTCATCAAATGAATGTTCAGGTCGATTATATCGTTTCAGTTATTTAGCCGGTTGGAAACTGTGCAGTTTTTCAGTTTCTCAGTTGGATTACTGCACGACTATGAATCGGCGCAGTTTAACCAGTGCGGGAAACAAAGAAATTTCTATATGTAAGTATTACTCTATATATTTCACTTACAGCTCAATTAATCGCTTGTGCCAGAAGAACAACACTTTTCAAGTTTTTAATCGACATAAAATCAATGTTTTAAAGTATTCAAACCGTGCTTTTCTAAACGCGCTCACATTTCCAAACGTTAAAGTTACCTTAGCACTCAATCTAGGTTATACCTAGGCAATAAATCAATGTGACTTTTAAGCTGAAAATCGAAAATGAACGCGAATGCACTACTGGAATGCTTGCAAAGCATTGGCCACTTCGGCCACATAGTCTCCACTGAAGAGCAAATAGTCCTGCAAAACAGCCTGCTGGTTTTGCAAAACGAGAACCATTTCCGAAACGTGTTCTTTTGGGGTAAGATTCTTGGAGCTGACAAGGATTACTATGTGGCTTATGGATACCTGAAAGACGCTCTACATGGCAACATTTTCTACTACAGTAATAACGGAATTAACTGGGGCCTGCTGCCTCAGCCAACCAAGAATGGCTTGTTGCTTACCCCCTTGTGCACTACGAGCTTGCAAGGCGATCCTGCTCTAATAATTGACGTGTTAATTGAAAAAGATGAAACAAGCATAGAAGAGACTCTGAGGGCCGCACAAATAAGAAAACTCAAAGAGGAAGATAGACTGGCCTCTCTGGTTAGGATTATCTGCAGTGAAGCTGCAGTCGCTCCAAGAGGAGTCAACTTCCAAAGACCCGATGGAGTTATAGTGGAAAACTTAGCTTTTGAAGGCTTATCAGCGCTGGAAGCTAGGGAATTTAGTTCATTTTTACATGCCAGACCGCCCACCCAGAAATACAACACCAACTTGCTAACGAGGGACGATTATAATTACGCGATGGATTTTCTGGATCCTTTGGATATCGACATACCGGAAGGCAGTTGGATTATCCAAATATTAGCAGGAGACTCAATAGTGCTCTTGAAGTCGCTGTTTTGGCCCGGACTGGTTTTCTATCATTTCCTGAAAACACCCCGACATGGATTTGTTTATATCGGCAACGGAAAACGGTGCATCGATGTGCCTTTTATGTTAAGCCCTTTTGTTTAACTCACTCGCTTATTGTTAAATTCAACAACGCACATTGCTGTTGATAAATTATTATGAACTTATATTTGGGCAATGATTAAGTTTTAATTTGGGAAATGTTTTTAAGTGCAATCTGTGGATTTGAGAATTAGGATTTTGAAAAATATGGCAATGAATAGCGAGGCTCTATAAAGATTTTTTTAATGCAGGGCGGGACAACTGAAAGTTTTGATTCTTATTTCCCCAAGTGTTGCGTTAAAAATTCGAAAACTCTGAAAACTGATTTTTTATTTTGTGCTTCAACTGTTCGTCTGCTCATAGTTCAGAAATTAGATTGGTGCTTTTAATGTACTTCTGAATTCATTTAAAATATAAATAACCCCTCCTGGCTAAATGGTCATTTGATTCCAGGACCTTGAGCTACATGAAGAAGATTTCCAATGTTTTTGGAAACTCTTAGGTATCTTTTTAGTTGCCATTTATATTTTGGGTTTACAATTTTTAAAGTTTTGGACGGTT